ACTTGATACATTTTTTCCTCCTTTTTTAGTAGTGCACTCATGTACTAGAAATCCTAGATCTGCCTCTGCCTTTTAACTGGATTTAACCCTGAAGAACTATTTATGGTGTCAGCAGATGGAAAATGTGAATTATATATGGCTAGGCAGAGAGGGTATTGTGATTCATAGAAACCTCTACAACTTTTGGATCCCAGATATAATCACTTTTTCAATAACCTAGGTTGTTAGTTGTCAGATTGCTGTAGAAGTCTCTGAGGAGAAGTGATCCGTTTCATACTGAGATTTGAAATAGACGAGAAAGAAGTATTGGTTCAGGGTTGTCATAGATCTCCTAGCTAATCACATTATTTTATCTCTGTATTGAACTTGGAATGTATCTACCATGAAATATAAGGACCAGAAACTTTTCTAAGTCCTTTTAGAAAACACATTGCTTGGACTTTGAAATGAAGTCCTGAATGAACTTAAAAATGTTGTTTACTGTATCCTGTGTTGAAATTCAAATGTACTAATGTTGAATTTAAAAGTTCACAATCTATTCTAAGCCTAAATCGGTGGAGTATGTATTTTCTGGATATTACATCCAAGTACATAAAGAACCTCTTTGTACTGTCTGTCCTTCTCATTTGCTGTTTAGACAATACCTTCGGTTTTCTGGCCTGCTCAAATTGAACTTTTCCTTTCTTGAAATTCAGTTTAGAACTCCAATTCCTATTTTCTCAGTCTCCTCCATGCCTCTTCTCTTCTAATTCCATGTTCCTTAGTCTAATAATGTTGTTGTGCTTCCGTTAGATCTCCGAGAGGATAAGCAATTCTTCCTGGACCATCCAGGTGCTGTTCCACTTACTACAGCTCAGGTACACTATTTTTTTACATGTCATCTGTTTTTAGACCACAATGTGGCCTTTTCGTTCTGGATTAAAATTTTAAGGGGGCATTTGCTCCTATAGCAGAACCTTACGTCACATGCTTCTTTTTAAGGGTGAGGAGCTGAGAAAGTCGATTGGTGCTTCCGCTTATATTGAATGTAGTGCAAAAACACAACAGGTGCTTTTCTAATTCAAAGATGACTATGTGGCTAGGTTATCAAGTTATCTAATTACATATTTCCATTGCCAAAATTGCAGAATGTGAAGGCTGTTTTTGATGCCGCCATTAAGGTGGTTCTGCAACCACCCAAACAAAAGAAGAAAAAGAAGAGAAAGGGTCAGAAAGCCTGCTCTATCTTGTGATTGCTGAAATTATGGACGAGCGATGGAGATGTAGATTGTTATCAATGTCTTCCAAGTTCAAAGAATGCAGTGTAAGGTTCAAAGTTGGTAGTCCTGGCTGACTATGATAGGAAAGCATGAATCTGCCTTGACCGTAACATTGTAGGCCAAGATGTATATTTGTGATCCGCATATGGTTGGGGATACAGATGTGCAAAATTCTCTGTTACGTGTTGATTCTGTGTAATATATTATGTAACACTTGTGTGATGATTCCCTTGAATTTGCATCTACTATGTGTTGTTAAAATGTAACCGAACATACTGATTTAAATTGTCCGAGAAGTTGATTTTGCTATATCATAAAGATAGTGGCGTGAATACTCCTTGCACATAGATTTTGCCCTATGGTTTTGTGAATTGTGCTTTGTGCTCGCTGATGTGGAATGTGTGTATTTTTCTAACTTTTTTTAGGATGCAAAGTTATTAATGATTTTTTATAATTAATTTCTCCTAATAAGTCTTTCTCAATTGATAATATAGCTAATCCATTTAACCTTAGGTAAAATTTTATCAGTTTTAATTTTGAAATTTTTTTTTTTGCTGAAGCAACGGTAACATGAGTTATTAACATTATTCTATAAGCAATATAGACATTTGAAAAAGAATTAATTTTTTTTATTTGATTGAGTATATCAATTAAACTATCATCTTCTAATTGTACTATTTTTCTTAACACTTTTAATTCAGAGAATAAATCTAAATCATCAGTATCGATATGATTATTATGCTTTAAGAAACTTTCAAGATTAAATCAATATTTTTTTCAAATTTTCATCATCTAGTGATCTCAGTTTTTTATCGTTAAATAGAAAACCAAAATATTTTCATATGCTTCGAATTGTTTAAATCTATTTTGAAGTGAAAAAATAACACTGTCTACTATGTATAAAAAGTAATCAACTCTAAAAGATTCTTCCAGAGATTTCATTTTGTCACACGTAGGGGGGGGGGGGGGG